AGCCTATGAACACTCATATGAGTACATTTCTGTAAAATTGGATAAGGATGATCAAGGTACTTCCGTTGATGCCACAAAATATCGAGGAATGATTGGATCCTTTCTCTACTTAACTGCTAGTAGACCTGATATTATGCTTAGTATGTGTTTATGTGCTCGATTTCAATCAAATCCTAAAGAATCTCATCTTAGTGCAGTAAAACGTGTTTTTAGATATCTTAGTGGTACTAGAACCTTAGGTCTCTGGTATCCAAAGGTCACTCATATTGATCTTCTTAGCTATTTGGATGTCGATTGGGCCTGTTGCACAATAGATCGTAAAAACACTAGTGGAACTTGTCATTTTCTAAGATTTGCACTTGTATCATGGTTTAGTAAGAAACAAAACTCCGTTACATTATCTACCGCCGAAGCCGAGTATATTTCGATCGCTAGTTGTTGTGCACTGACATTATGGATGAAACAAACCTTTAGTGATTATCATTTATCATTCGATCATATACCTATCATGTGTGATAACACTAGTGCCATAAATTTATCAAAAAATCATCTTGCACATTCGAACCAAGCACATTGAGATTAGACATCGCTTCCTAAGAGATCACACACAAAAAGGGGACATTGTATTGGAATTTATTAATACGGAAAATCAATTGGTCGACATTTTTACTAAACCTCTAGCGCTTGATCGTTTCTCACATATTCGAAGAGGATTAGAGATTATTGATGAGTTCGAAATATATGGCTAAATTAAATTCATACTATACATTCTTACTTTATTTTTTTTTTATGTTTGATTGAGTATGTTTTAAAAAAAAAAAAGGGACGACCTTTGGTCGACGGGAAGTTGTCATCCAAAAAACTAGAAAGTTTGGTTTGAAACCATTCTAAAAAAAGGGGAGGTCCGGTCGACCGGACTGTTGGGATTCTACTTGTTTTTATCTCTTACATCTCTCATTTTTCACTCATTTTTCTCACTTTCCTCCTTCTTCTTTTCCATAGATCTACCTCCAAATTATCCTTCATTAATCTTCAAGATCTCACCAAGATTTCAAAAACCCATGACTTTTTATCTTCAAAAATCTTAAAATCCTCATTTTTCTTCCACTAAAAATTTAGTTTCTCTCACATTGATAGTCACCGCCTTCTAAATTTTCCTTTTTTTGTTTTTTATCATACCAAGGGTCAAAATATGTGGAAAGAAACAAAGGAGGGAGAGGTTGCCAACTTCTTTATCGGAGGACAAACCCGAGGTGTCGGAAAATCATTTTGATAAATCACAATCCTTATGGGTAAGATCATAGATTTTGCGGATTTTACTCTTCAAGTACCTGCATTTCATGTAGAAGAATTCTTCTTAAGCATGGGTTAGGTCTCAATTGCATCTATGGAAGAATATGTATATCCTAAGCTTATGAAAGATTTTTACAAAAATATGGTTTATACTCCTCCAACGGGTAGTATTTCTTGCTTTCTAAAAGGAAAAAGGATTACAATTACCAAAACCCTTATACATTCTCTTCTTGAGCTAGAAGAATGTGCGAATCAAGTGTTTTGTCATATGACTCATCCAATCTGTGACGATTATAATCTTACCATTGCATGTCGTAGAGTGACCGAAAAAAATTTAAACATTCAATAAAACTTAGTTCAAACCAACTTACTTTACCTTGTAAAGTTTTACACATTATCATTGCCCATATTATCCTTCCTATGAAAGGTCATCTTGATGAAGTTACTCACTTCGACCTATTCCTTCTTGATTCTTTTTAGTTGGGCGAAAATTGGATTTTCCAACAATTGTCATTGGTCACATGAAAATTATCCACTCCGCTACTCGCATCAAGGCTTTACCCTTTGGCATGCTTTTTACTAAAATTTTTAAACAATTTGAAATCCCTCTAAATGATGAGGTCTTTGTTTCACTCTATCCCATCGACATTATCAATACTCATACTCTTAAACGCACGAAAATTTTCTAGGAGAATGGCAATGGGTGGCCCGTACTAAAGGATTTGATCCGGACTCGGGACCTTCGACTTTACCTTTTGAATGAGATGAAGACGACATCAAAAATGATCGTGAGGACGATGTACCACAAGTTTCTAGTCCTCCTTATGACATCTCGAGATCGAGTGCTCCTCCACCCTCCTGCATAAAGAGGACTAGAAACTTTTGGTATACCAATGATCACTACAATCTTCTCAACGGGAGCAATGATTTACTTACATCTTCCGTCGACGAGCTTGGCGGGATGCTTCACCATATGCAAGTTCAATAAGATGCAATACCAGTTCAACAAGCGACAATGTAGGCTCAACATGATGCCTTTTATGCTTACTACAACTCTCAATAGGAGGCAATGTAGGCTTAACAAAATGCCTTTTATGCTCGGTTCGACGCACTCTTTTCACCACCGCCTCCTTCGAAGCCTTAGATGTGACTTTATACATATATATTTTAGTCCTTATGTTGATCTAACTTCTTTGTATCCTTACCTTTTGTAAACTTATGCTTTGACATGTCTATGCGATATCCTATATTTTGCATTTTTTCGTCTTCATGTGCTCACTTAAGGGGGAAAACTTATATTGTTTCCTATGGTTGTGTTTTACTCTTAAATGCTATATCTTTTTGCTTATAACAAAAGGGGGAAATGTATCAGATGATATGCTTGATGAAAATATGATGATAAAAAATGCTTGCCTTGATAAACATATGTTTTAAAGTGTTTCGCTAACGGTTTGTAAAATATAGGGGGAGTACATGAATCACATGCAAAATTTAAGATTTATATTCCTTATCAATTATTCAATATTACTTGTAAATCATCTTGTTTGTCATAATCAAAAAGTGGGAAATTTTTGATCTATGGGTGATTTAAAACCTCAAAGTTTTGATTATAATAAACAAATTAATGTTGTTTACTAACAAGTTGAATTTAATTCATTATAGTCTTTCAACACATACAATGGAAAATTGACCAATAGTTGACAAATTGGATTTATGAAGGAAGTCAAGATCGAAATCACATTCAAGATTTTAAGAGCCAAATTTCAGAGCAAGATCAAATACTTGATCTTTTAGCTAAAATGTAAAGTTACTAACACTTTGATATATGGGAATGAATGCTTAAGCTCTAAACCTCTACACGCATTAAAAACAATTTTGTGAATTAAAAGTCATTCGTATACAATGATTTGATCAAATGTAAAAATGATTTTTAAAGATGATATTTGGACTTGTAACACTTTTTATCACGAAAAGTTAGTTACAAATATTCTCCAAAAGTCCATACTTTTCAAAACCTTCAAATCGGAACAAACAGAGGAAAAACGTGGAAAATGCCAAACTGCCGACGGTCGACCGAAAATTTCCAATGGTCCAAAATTTGACCATTCTAACCTCTAATTTTCTGTACAAACGGCTATGTTAGTCATCCGGACAAGAGATGGTCGACAGGACGCGGTCATCTGAACTCCCAGATTTTTTTGACGGTTTGAACTCTATAAATACCTCTATTTCTTGCATTCAAATAACATTTGTAACGATCCGACCTCGCGTCAAAACTGTTATCTTACGTATTGTCCACTTTAGGAGAGCCTAGACCCATCTTACCCCTCACGGATTTCTGATGCGTCCNATCTCATTCATCCAAGAGGGCAAATTGTCCAATTGGTACTAGGCTTCAACTTAAGCCTCCCATATGTAGGAGGTCTTATGTTCGAATCTTGGTGGACGCGTCAGAAAGCCGTGAGGGGTAAGATGGACATAAGTTCTCCCAAAGCGGACAGTACGCAAGCTAACGGTTTGGGTATAGAGACATGGGTCATTACAAAAAAATGCGCGTCACGGATTTCTGACGCGTCCCCCAGGATTCGAATCCAAGACCTTCATCACATGAGAGATTTAAGTTGAATCCTAATACCAGGTGGGGTGGCCGTGTGTGCGATGAGGTAGGGATAATTAATTATCCATGGGGTGGTGTGATTTTCAGATTTGAATTTCTGGAAAGTTTTGGTGGGATGGGTGGGGTAGGGGGTGGCCGTATGGGGTGAGGTATAGATAATTAATTATATATATTTAATTTGAATTAACACCTGAATTTTGAAATAATTT